AGTTTTGCGAGGAAACTCGCCGGCGAATAATCTCGCCCTTCAGTCTGGTGGTTGACCAGACTGCGCGTACTGTTTTCCTTGCAAACAGTTGCGCGCGCCTGTCGAGAGCCTAGCGACCGCGCGGCTTTACTCTCCGTCTCCTCTCCTCCCGACTTTAAGGGTAGCTCTTTGGGAAATTTTATAGATAATCGGGAGTGTAGCCTGCGCGTCGCTGCCATTTTGGCTCAAGGCACGCGCGCCCTATTTGCCCGGATACCTGACATGGTATTCGCGATGTGTTGGAAAGATCACTACATCGATCTTATCCTATCTTACTCATCCATACCCCATATCGTATTCCTTCGACATGGAATTTGATGCAATATGACCTACCAGAGTCATTTCAGACTCAGCATAGCACACAAGGCAGGCGCGCAGAGCACGACACTGTCGCAAAGCCTAGCAGACGTGGCAGTTTCACGACACCGTAGGGGGTGCGCAGGGGTTGGTCCCTGAGCTCGCCCGCTATCCACGACACTGTCGCAAAGCCTAGCAGGCGTGGCAGTTTCACGACACCGTAGGGGGTGCGCAGGGGGTGGTCCTTGAGCGCGCCCGCTATCCACGACACTGTCGCAAAACCTAGCAGGCGTGGCATGTTCTCGACACCGTAGGGGGTGCGCAAGGGGTGGTTCCTGGGCGCGGCCGCTATCCACGACACTGTCGCAAAGCCTAGCAGGCGTGGCACTTTCTCGACACCAAAAGGGGTGCGCAGGGGGTGGTCCCTGAGCTCGCCCGCTATCCACGACACTGGCGCAAAGCCGAGCAGGCGTGGCAGTTTCTCGACACCAGGTGCGCAGGGGGTGGTCCCTGAGCTCGGCCGCTATCCACGACACTGTCGCAAAGCCTAGCAGGCGTGGCAGTTTCACGACACCGCACGGGGTGCGCAGGGGGTGGTCCCTGAGCGCGCCCGCTATCCACGACACTGTCGCAAAGCCTAGCAGGCGTGGCACTTTCTCGACACCGTCGGGGATGCGCAGGGGGTGGTCCCTGAGCTCGCCCGCTATCCACGACACTGTCGCAAAGCCTAGCAGGCGTAACACTTTCTCGACACCAGAGGGGGTGCGCAGGGGTTGGTCCCTGAGCTCGCCCGCTATCCACGACACTGTCGCAAATCCTAGCAGGCGTGGCAGTTTTCACGGGGGGGTGCGGGGTGGTCCCTGAGCGCGCCCGCTATCCACGACACTGTCGCAAAGCCTAGCAGGCGTGGCACTTTCTCGACACCAGAGGGGGTGCGCAGGGGGTGGTCCCTGAGCGGCCGCTATCCACGACACTGTCGCAAAGCCTAGCAGGCGTGACACTTTCTCGACACCAGAGTGGGTGCGCAGGGGGTGGTCCTTGAGCTCGCCCGCTATCCACGACACTGTCGCAAAGCCTACCAGGCGTGGCACTTCCTCGACACCAGAGGGGGGGCGCAGGGGGTGGTCCCTGAGCTCGCCCGCTATCCACGACACTGTCGCAAAGCCTAGCAGGCGTGGCAGTTTCACGACACCGTAGGGGGTGCTCAGGGGGTGGTCCCTGAGCGCGGCCGCTATCCACGACACTGTCGCAAAGCCTAGCAGGCGTGGCACTTTCTCCACCCCAGAGGGGGTGCGCAGGGGGTGGTCCCTGAGCGCGGCCGCTATCCACGACACTGTCGCAAAGCTTAGCAGGTGTGGCACTCTCTCGACACCAGAGGGGGTGCGCAGGGGGTGGTCCCTGAGCGCGGCCGCTACCCACGACACTGTCGCAAAGCCTGGCAGGCGTGGCACTTTCTCGACACCAGAGGGGGTGCGCAGGGGGTGGTCCATGAGCGCGCCTGCTATCCACGACACTGTCGCAAAGCCTAGCAGGCGTGGCAGTTTCACGACACCGTAGGTGCGCAGGGGGTGGTTCCTGGGCTCGGCCGCTATCCACGACACTGTCGCAAAGCCTAGCAGGCGTGGCACTTTCTCGACACCAGAGGGGGTGCGCAGGCGGTGGTCCCTGAGCTCGCCCGCTATCCACGACACTGTCGCAAAGCCTAGCAGGCGTGGCACTTTCTCGACACCAGAGGGGGTGCGCAGGCGGTGGTCCCTGAGCTCGCCCGCTATCCACGACACTCCCTGCAGCTGCGCAAACGACACTGTCGCAAAGCCTAGCAGGCGTGGCACTTTCACGACACCGTAGGGGGTGCGCAGGGGGTGGTCCCTGAGCTCGCCCGCTATCCACGACACTGTCGCAAAGCCTAGCAGGCGTGGCACTTTCACGACACCGTAGGGGGTGCGCAGGGGGTGGTCCCTGAGCGCGGCCGCTATCCACGACACTGTCGCAAAGCCTAGCAGGCGTGGCACTTTCTCGACACCAGAGGGGGTGCGCAGGGGGTGGTCCCTGAGCTCGCCCGCTATCCACGACACTGTCGCAAAGCCTAGCAGGCGTGGCACTTTCTCGACACCAGAGGGGGTGCGCAGGGGGTGGTCCCTGAGCTCGCCCGCTATCCACGACGCTGTCGCAAAGCCTAGCAGGCGTGGCAGTTTCACGACACCAGAGGGGGTGCGCACGGGGGTGGTCTCTCACCGCGGTCTCTATACGCGCCAATGTCGCAGGGCTTAGCAGGCGTGGCACTTTCTCGACTCCAGAGGGGGTGCGCAGGGGGTGGTCTCTCACCGGGGTGGTCCCTCACCGCGGCCGCTATGCACGACGGTCGTCCAGGGCATAGCAGGCGCGGCATTTTCTCGACACCAGAAAGGCTGCGCAGGGGGTGGTCCCTCACCGCGGCCGCCATGCACGGCGGTCGTCCAGGGCATAGCAGGCGTGGCACTTTCTCGACACCATAGAGGGTGCGCAGGGGGTGGTCCCTCACCGCGGCCGCTGGCTGGCTCGAATCTGTCCTCGATGGAGGATAGAAGGCTAGGAAGAGGGAGGAGGTTCAAGCAATATGGCGTTGGATGACATAGAGGGGAACATTCGCGACGAGGGCTGAGAACGCAGAATTGCGCATATATGATAACTTAAGCAAGCACATAAGATTTAAATTAAGTATGTGGGGTTCCTCGGTAGCGTAATTTTCATTTTTCGACGAAGATCCCCCTGTAGGGGGACACGCCCGACTTAAGCCTAGGGTCACTCTTGCGTGTAGTCGACTTGCACGTCCCTCGACCTGGCCTGGCCGATCGCGGCGCGCCTCCGCCTCGGGGGCATCTTGATGCCTCTGGGGCCATACCGTCCTGGGGACCATCTTGGCCGCCGAGGGGGCCATCTCCCGACCTGCACCTTCCGCGCAGACGGTGCCGCCGCGAATGGGTGCGGGTGCGGCCGCGGCGGCGGCCGTGGCAGCGCGGCACCTGCCGCGCGGAAGGTGCGGAAGGTGCAGGTCGAGGGAGAACCGCACCTGGAGGATCGATTTTCGGAGACCTTGGCAGGCGGTGGATATGGATATATTCGGGCCCTTTGGGTCCCAGATGTGTCAATGTTAACTGCCCGCTGGGCTCCCAGGGCGTCGTCTCCACAGGCGGTGGATATGGATCTATCCCCGTCTCGCATTCTGGTGCGGGCCCTGGCGGCATGATTTGTCCGATCTCGGTAGTTGTTCCTCGATTCCAGCCTTCGGGGGCCGCCAAAATCGGGCTCCGGGGCCGCCGAAACGATTCTTCCGTGTGAGAGACTGGCCCCACGGAGAAAGGAATGGGTCGGCAGGTCTGGGGGCGCGGATTGAGAACATCGCATCGTGGGCTGGCTGGGTCTGGGGCCCCACGACGACGACGACGACGACGACGACGACGACGACGATCCCTGCATTGGGCGCTGAAGTCTTTCCGCACCGAGCGTTTTCGCCCGGCTCCGGGCCCTCAGGAACCATCGCACCTCGATCGGGGCTCCCCAAACGTGTTGGTGACCACACCGTGCAATGAGTCGGTGGGGATTCGGGGTCACGGCACGGTTTTGGGACTCGAGTCCCTCTCCGAGGACGTCTCGGGCGACAGGGGCCTCTGGGGCCCCTCACCGCACGGTCCGTCACCGCACCGCTTCGGGACTCCCAGCTCGATCCGGCTCGAAGACTGCCGCGGGAAGGTGGGGTCCAGGGCTGCGGTCGCGATCTGTCGCGGGGCTGCCATTCTTCCGCGGTGTCGGGCCTCGGGGTCTGGCCACCTGGGGCCCCCAGGCCCGTGCGTGCGGTGCAGCAGCAGCAGGCGGCCTGCGCGCCAGGGGCTGGTTGGCTGAAGTCGGGCCCGTCCTCCTACAGGGACGGCAAATTCGAGGAAATACAAACATAGTAAGGCTTAAACAAGGCTTAAGCCCTTCCTCCTCCTCCTCCTCCTCCTCCTCCTCCTCCGCCCTCCTGCTCCTCCCCCCTCCTGTTCCTCCCTTGCTCCCTCCACCTCCTCCTCCTTTTTGTCATCCTCCTCCTCCTCCTCCTCCTCCTCCTCCTCCTCCTCCTCCTCCTCCTCCTCGACGTCCTCTGTTTGCCCGATTTAAGTAAGGCTTAAGTCGGGGAGATTCAAAAAAAGTCAACAAATAGTCAGGGGACGATTTTTGGGAGTATCTTCGGCCACTTAGGGGGCAGCATTTTTGGAGTATGTTTTTTTTATGTTTTGCCCGAAATCCCCACGCAGGGGGACGCCCGACTGAAGGGTTGGCCCACCCCCGCGCCCCCCACGTGACGCCGCGCACCACGGGTCACTCTGGCGTGGGGGTCGCTCCTGCCTGCTGCCGATCTGGTAGGCTTCGCGTAGCGCACAGGACAGCCTCCCCAGGTAGTCTTAAGTCGGGCCTGTCCCTCTACAGGGGGACTATCCAAAAATAGTCAACAAATAGTCTGGTGACTATTTGTGTTGAGTATTTGTTGACCATTTTGGATCATGTTTTGAGTATTTTTAATTTTTTATCGAAGATCCCCCTGTAGGTGGACAGGCCCGACTTCAAGGTGGTCCCGGCCGGACTCCGCAGGCGACGAGGACGAGGAGGAGGAGGACTACTTGGAGAGGCTGTCTCTTCGCAGCCCGAAGCCTTACCATGCCGACCCACGTCCGCGTGGCCGTCGCTTCCACAGCTCGTGCCGGTCTGGCAGCTCTGCTCGGTGTTCGAGCCGCCCCGCCTCGGCCACGGGGGGCAGGCTAGGTTTATATATACTCGTGCCCGGCACTCTGTCGCTGTTTTGCCTGCCCACGGCGTGCCCCGCTTCTGCCGCTCACGCCGTGTGCCTCTGTGGCTTCTCCGTCATAGTCTTTGCCAGGCCGCCCAGGGGCCCTTGAGGATGCATGGGGGCTTCAGGCGTCCCAGTGTATACTGGAACCCCCTCGCGTTTACCGCCCGCCCGTTCGATTTCTCGCCGGAAGGGACGCAGACGGCGCCAAGACTGGGTGACAATGTTTCGAAAGTAACGACCATCTCCACCACATGTGCGTGCTTGTGTTTTTCCTGCGCTCCGTTTCTCCTCCGTCCCGTCGCAGATTGGGACTAGGTGTGCTGTGTGGCTGATCGATGGAGTTCGTCGCTTCGTCGTCGGCCCGCCTTCCTTACCAAGGAATCAGTGGTATGGACAGTGGCTCTCTGGAGCTGGTGCTCCTTATCCACAGCAGGAGGCCAGAGACAGCCAGAGCTCTGCCCGAGGCCAGCCCTGTAGGCAGCCCAGATGGCACCCCGCGAGGGCCGGAGAGCACCCCGAGGGGGGCCCAGAGGGGGGCCCAGAAGTGCTCGAGGCGGCCTGGGGGAGCTTCTGGTGATGGGCCTGTTTTCCACCACCACCATCATGAGTTGGAGGGGGAGGGGGTCCTCCTCCTCCTCCTCCTTCCTCCTCCCTCCTCCTCCTCCTCCGCCTCCTCCTCCTCCCTCCTCCTCCTCCCTCCCCCTCCTCCCTCCTCCTCCTCCTCCTCCTCCTCCTCCTCCTCCTCCTCCTCCTCCTCCTCCTCCTCCCCCTCCCCCTCCCCCTCCTCCTCCTCCTCCTCCTCCTCCTCCTCCTCCTCCTCCGTAGCCATTTTGGCTCAAGATGTCCTGGTGCGCAGCGGGGTCCAAATGGATACCGCTGTGCCGCGGCCAGGAGTGGGGATTTCTTTGCAGCCACACCCAGGGCGTGCTGCCGCCAAAGCCTGGTCCGCGAGGACCCACAGTTTTGCGCCCGCGAGGGCTCTCCCCAGCAGTGCATGGCGGCCGATGAGGAGCGGCGCAGGGCGGGTCGTGCTGGTGGCGGCCATCGCGGTCCTGGTGCTGCTGACGGTCGGAGGCGCTGCGACAAGGGCAAGGAGCAGCCTCCAGCCGAGGACCTGCGGTCGGCCTCCCGCAGCACGAACGAGCGTGCCCCTGCGCGGCGTCGGGCTCGGCGGGGCCACCCGCGCTCCGACGGCGAGGCGGATGCCTCGGGCTCGCCGGCCAGTGATCGTGTGCGCCCTGGACCTGGAGGACTCGATCGCGCCGCCCAGGATGAACTCGCGGCTGCTTTCGAGGCGGCGGCCACCTTCCCCTCGCAGGAGCGCCAGGCCATGCAAGTGGAACAGGCGCCCGCTGGCCCCCTGCAAGCTGGACCTCAACATGCTCCTCCTGACCTGTGGCAACGCCCTGGCGGGGACCCTTGGCATGAGCGCGCTGCCCCCGCTGATGGACACACTGAACCACCTGCTGCTGGCACTCCCATCGGTGGGATGGCCACTCCTGTGGACGCTGGCGGCATTGACATGCAGGCCATGCTGCAGAGCTGCATTCGCCAGGCCACCGATGCCATCGCCGCGACCTCCATGGCCCAGGTCACCTCCTGCTAGACGCAGCTGGTGCGCATGTTCCAGACCCAGCAGGAGGCTGTCAACAGGTCCCTCGCCGTGCAGACGCGCGACATCGCATCCATCGGTCAGCGCGCCGACGCGCTGGAGGCGGAGCAGGCTGCCATGCGCAAGCAGATCGGGGACATCAACAAGGCCCTGGCCCTCGCCGAGAAGGAGCTGCCCATCATGGACTTTCAGGAGCTGGAGGCGTGGTCTCGTCAACCCAACCCGCGGATCTTCTCGATTGGGGCACCGCAGTTGGTTGGACCCGCCCAAGCTCTGCAAGGATTGGAGGAGTGGATTCGCGCGGCTGGCCTCACCAACGACATGGTCCGCATCGACCCTGCGGTCCCCTCCAAGCGCTTCAACGTCTTGGTACAGGGCGGCGACGGTGTCGCTCTCCCGCGGGCCCAAGCACTTGCACGGCATCTACGAGACCCAGCTGGCAGGAACGGGTGGCGCTCCTTCAGCGCGCAGAGCGTCGGCGGTGGCGTCGTCCCGCTGTACCTCTCGCCTGACAAGTCACCGCAGCAAGTACGGATGGAGATCCAGTCGAGGAAGCTCTCGGCTTTGCTGGCAGAAGCTCTTCCTGATCTGTCTTTCAGTGCTCAGCGGGCCCGTGGCATCGTCACCTCTCAGGGCGTCAAGGTTGCCAAGCTCGAGATGGGAGAATCCCGCTTCACCGACACTATCATCAGGTGGAACCCAGACATGGTCGCCAGGCTGCACATCGACAGGGAGGCCATCAACACGCAGTTCAAGAAGGCCTTCTCCACGGAGGACAACACCGAGTGGATTTAGCACCCCACTGTGGGCGCCATGGCGTCCTCCTGGCGATCGGCATGGCTTCCGTGGACTTCACCTGGTCGTGTGGAATGCCCGTGGCCTGCTCCACTCGGACGCGAGGCTGCGCAGACGCAAGTTGGCTCTGCTCGCCACATACATGAAGGTCAACGCCATCATCGCCGTGCAGGAGGTCCACGGCTCCGAGGACGCCCTCAGGATTTTTCTCCAGTCGCAGCCGCAGAAGTACTTAAGCTTCCTCTCGCCTGGCCCTTCCGCTGCCGTGGGCGGTGTCGCCTTTCTCGTCCCTCGATACGTCGACGAAAGTCCAAGGGCGGATGGGCCCAGAGCCGAATCTCTGTGAGGCGGGGGCGAGGCGAGGCGGGTAAGACCCCCTGAGTGTGCCTCGCCCCCTGCTGCATCCTTACCGACTCAAGACTCCTGGTCAAGTACACGAACCTCTTCACCGACGACAGCAAGTTGCCCCGACACCTGGTCAAGTACACGACGTTCTCCCACGACATCCACGTCACTACCGAACAACACCTGGTCAAGTTCACGAAACCCCACACCTGCTCTGCCGGCCTACCGCTTCGACATAGTGGCGGTCGGCCGCGCGGCGCTCCTCACGATCACCGACTGCACGGGCAAGTGCAGTATGCAGATCTTCAACATTCACAACTACGACCTCAAGCCGCACGAGTTCACTGCAGTACAGCGCACTTGGTCCAGTGGCCTGGCGTGGGCGCGCCGCGACTCGTTACACCGCATCTTCCTGGGCGTCGGTGACTTCAACATAGCTACCCGCCCGCCAGTCAGTCAACGAGCACCCTCAGACACCACTGCTTGGCGCCTCCGACCTGATCACCGTTGCCAACTTCGGCAACCTGCGTGGCGCCGTCTATTCGCTGCAGCCATGGAGGTTGAGTCTCAATGGCCGACCCACTACGACAAGTCCTGCAAGCAGCTGTCCACGATCGACCGCATCTTCTTGGGCATCGACGCGCACGCCATGCTCTCGGTCTCGACGATCCTTACCACTGCGAGGGACGCGATGGAGCTTTCCGAGGCGGGCATCAGTGACCACGCGCCCCTCGTCCTGCAGATCACTGCCGCACGCCATGTCCCACGAGACGAGCAGCCAATCCCGACGCACCTCTTCAACCACAGGAAGTACCCTGAGACCTACACGCTCATGCTGGACCACTGCGCCCTGGCTGGGGAAACGGCGGAAGGCCGCCGGAGAGCAGCGAAGCAGTGCATGAAGCTTGCCGCGCGACGTGTTCGGTTCGTGATGAACAGCTGCGGACCAACTTCTCCCTACACGTCAAGGACTCCACGGTCGAGACATCGCACATGGGTTTCAAGTCGGCGGCGCGAGCAGTCTGGCGACAGGACGCTGTCCTGGCAGGTAGGCTTCTCGACTCCTGCCCTGCGCTGGCCGCCCACCTCCACATTACCGACGGCACCGTGCGCCTCGTGGACCCCCACAGCTTCGCCACCAACTTCGACGCCATCGCCGAGCGGGTGCACTCCCTGCGCAGGCAGGCGGCGGAGGCAGCAGCTCGGACGGCCAACGTGCGCGACAGCGCAGCCTGGCGGAGGGTTGAACGCAACGCCGCCAGACATGCGCAGCTCTGGGTCCCGTGGCGGCGCCGCAGGATCCTCTCGGGCTTGCGCGTGGATTCCGCACCGTGTGCCGCCAAGGACTCGCAGGTGGCTCAGCACGTGGTCTCCGACCCCGCGGGCATGAAGGCGACTGTGGCGAACTACTGGGGTGAGATCTTCGCGAAGGCGCCGAATTCTGAACAGCTCAAGGCATTGGACGCCTTCCTGGACAAGCATGCGCCAAGGAACCCTGCGGTGGAAGTACCTCAACCTGCTCTACATGACTTGGAACGTGCGGCCAGTAGGGCCCCGCCGAGCGCTGCGGGACCAGATCAGCTGACGTACGCAGCATGGCGCCGCAGCCCTGGTGCCTTGCAGCATCTCCAGGGACTCATGGAAGTCCTCTTCAACGACGGCGTGGCCCCGCTCGACCTCAACTGGTCGATCTTCATCTGCGTGCCGAAGGGCACGGAGGAGGACGACGTCCCCGACTCCTGCACGCGCACGGCCTCCACGGTGCGCACCCTCTCTCTGAAGAGCTGCGACGCCAAGCTGATAGCGGCCTGCCCAGATCGCGGACTCCAGCCCATCGCCACATCATCTACCTCACCCGAGCAGAAGGGCTTCACTGCTGGGCGGCGCTTCGTCGACCACATCCCGTACTTGGACGCGGAATGCCGTAGGGGGGGCCTTCTTCCTGACGCGGCGTCCCGCCGCCCCATGTTCCTGTCGTTCGACTTCCGTCAGGCCTTCCCCTCACTCTTCAGGGAAGTCATCGAGAAGGTCCTCCCGCGCTTCGGGGTCCCGATGGGCTTCCGCAGCGTGGTCGCGGCGCTCTACAGCAACTGCCTCGCCTTCAGCTCCTTCCGCGCCGAGGGCACCAGCGCGGAGCTCGAGCCGCTGTTCGCGCTCCTGTGCGGCATCATGCAAGGATGCCCGCTCTCTGGCACGGTCTGGTGCCTGGCAATGGATGCGCCCATCCGCGCGCTGCTGGCTGCGATTGCAGAGCATGGGTTCCTCACGGCTTGCGCCGACGATCTCGGGATGCTGATCAAGAACGCTGTTGCCCTCCCTAGCATCGACTACACCTTCGTCTCCATAGGGTTTGCCTTCAACCTGCAGCTGGCGCTGCACAAGTGCGTGTTGGTTCCGCTGTGGGAGGAGCTCTCGGAGGACACACTGCTGAACGTTAAGTCTTTCCTCGCTAAGGAGGTCCCCCGCTGGCTGGGCTTCCGCGTCGACTCCACGGCCAAGTACCTGGGGACTCACCTGGGACCAGGCGTCACGGACTTCGGCACCTGGAAGGCTGCTGCGGGGAAATGGTGGACCCGATGCTGGGAGCTGGCGCGCACTGGCATGGCCACCAGCCTTGCGGCCCGCGCGCACAACATCAACGCGCTTCCGTGCTTGTCGTACCTCGCGCAGTTCTACTTCATTGTCCCCTCCATCTGGAAGGTCGAGTTCACCTCCCTGCACCGCCTGCTGCGGCTGCCGCCCTCGTCCATGCGCAAGGCCGACATCCTGTCGTTGAGCGCGTGGTGCGGTTCCCCGTCGCCGATTGGCCTCTTCCCATACACGCTCGCGGCGATGATGCGCTCGGCGGAGAACACGGTTCGCGGATGGGAAGCCCACCTTCACCACCTTCATGAAGCTGCCGTGGAGCACGTCCCACTGATTGACGCGATCAAGGGCAACTGGTCGCCACCGTGGTGGCAGACGCGGAGGGCGATCGTACAGAACTACGCCATGATCACGGACACCTACGGCCAGTCGGACATACCCAGACCGATGCTCGACGTGCTCTCGGTCCCGATCTCGAGCAGGTACATCAAGATCGCGAAGTCGGCGATGACCCTGGAGACGAAGACGGCGGCAGCGGCCACCCCCGCCAGGAAGCCCAAGCGCCAGGCCACGGCCGCCGCTTCGCTCCGTGGCTCGCTGTACCCCGAGGACCTGGTGGCCACCATCCACCGTCGGCTGCGCAGGTGGGGAGTCGAGTGCCCGCTGCCCGAGCTACGCGAGAGGTGGCCTCCGCTGCGTGCCAAGCTGACGGAGGTCCGCCCTGCTTGGATGTGGTCGTGGACCCGCACCGCGGTCAACGGCTGGACGACTTCTCGCCGCATGAGCGCCGTCATCGACGCGCGTCCATGCCTCTTCGGCTGCGACGCGGAGGACGCGCTCGAGCACTACGTCGTCTGCCCGATCCTCAGGGCGATGACTGCGGGCGACGCTGGTGCGGACTCCCTAGGCACTGGCGCCGAGCTCCTCGGCTTCGGCGACGAGCAGTACCACGCAAAGAGACCCATCTCGGACTGCATCTACTCGGTCGGCCTTATGTGCCAGTGCTACCACATCCAGAAGCACCGCATGGACGTGGGCTTGGACGCTGGAGCGGACCAACGGGCTGGTGTGAGACTGGCCGCTCTGCACCGCATGCAAGCATAGGCGAGGCTGCAGATCGAACTGCTCGCCGAGCTTCGTGCCCTCCTCCTCCTCCTCCCTCTCCTCCTCCTCCTCCTCCTCCTCCTCCTCCTCCTCCTCCTCCTCCTCCTCCTCTTTCTTCTCCTCCTCCTCCTCCTCCTCCTGCTCCTCCTCCTCCTGCTCCCTCCTCCTCCTCCTCCTCCTCCCCCTCCCCCTCCCCCTCCTCCTCCTCCTCCTCCTCCACCTCCTCCTCCTCCTCCTCCTCCTCCTCCTCCTCCCCTCCTCCTCCTCTCCTCCTCCTCCTCCTCCTCCCCTCCTCCTCCTCCTCCTCCTCCTCCTCCTCCTCCTCCTCCTCCTCCCCTCCCCCCTCCCCTCCCCTCCCCCCCTCCCTCCTCCTCCTCCTCCTCCTCCTCCTCCTCCTCCTCCTCTCCTCCTCCTCCTCCTCCTCCTCCTCCTCTTCCTCCTCCTCCTCCTCCTCCTCCTCCTCCTCCTCCTTCCTCCATCCAACTCATGATGGTGGTGGTGGTGGTGGAAAACAGACCCATCATCAGGGCGGCCCGCGCGAGAGCACTGCCGCGTCGTGCTGGCAACCCCGCCGGAATGCCGTCAGACATCGGGCCGGTTCGGGGTCAGTTTGGGCCTCGTCTTTCAGGGGCAGCGTTGGGGGGGGATCGGCATGGGGGGGTGCATCGACCCCCAATCGCCCATTGATCGCCCATAGGGGCCCGATTGCCCCAACCTGCCCAGGAAGGTGCGGATTCACTCTCGGGGACCTATCGCCGATCTATCGGCGATGTATCGCCGATTCCAGGTCGATGCATCCCCCCATATGCCAGTCCCCCCCTATCGTTGCCCCCCTATCGTTGCCCCCCAGTCTTGGGCGCCAAGTTGGGCCCAGCATCGTCCAAAATTGAGCCTGGAGCGCGCCCCAAAACGTCGAAGTCTGCGTTGGAGAAATACCCCAGACGAGCCCGAAACTAGCTCTTAGATGCATCCGGGCGACCCCCGACACGGCACAGATCACAAACACATACGGTTTTGGCAATATTTTTGAAGCTTCGAGTTTGTAGCCAAGAGGGGCCCCAAGAGGGGTGGACATGGAGCCAAATTGCTACCCGAGAGCTTATTGGGAACGATCCGAAATCCGAGCGCGTCTTGGATGCCGTCTGGAAGCCGTCTTGGGCAAGGAAAGGGTTGACAAGGAGCTCTCACAATTCAGTCTCCTACGCCCCTCAGCCCGGTGGGCGGGCGGATTCAAGAGGCTTGCATCATTCCGCCAACTCCCAGAAGGGAAGAGAAATTCACGGGCGATGCCTTTGAGGGGACCGTTTGGGGCCTCTGGGGGCTTCTTTCTGGCCTCTCGAACGCCTTTTGGGGGCCTATCGGGGGTGTCTTGGGCGCCCGCTGGCGGTCTCGGGGGCCGTTTGGGGGCCTTGACATGTCAGTTCGAAGCACCACTCTTCGTCATTTTGACTTCTCTACGGCGTGTCCCGCTTCTGCCGCTCATGCCGTCGCAGTGTTTGCCGGGCCGCCCAGGAGCCCTTCGGGATGGCGGCTTCGGATGTCCCAGTGTTCACTGCACTGCTCTGACAATGCGTTGCAATTTTGCACGTGGATGTGTTGCTTTTCGTTTCCTTTTTTTCATAGTGTTTGGCCTCCTGGGGCCGTTTTCGGGACACGTCACCGTCGAACACATAGCGGGATGAAGAACTGCCCCCAGGGAAGTCCGCCGGACGATTCTCCGACACGACCTGCAAAAGTTGCATTACTTTTCCAGGGGGTTCTGATGCAAGATTGTACAGTGGAGGAGCTCCTCAGAGATTTGTACTCTACTTTACCTTCTTGCCAGACAAGGGAGTGGAGGAAGGCGGGAGATCGTGCCGCACTCCTGGAATCGGCCTCGGCGGTGTTTTCAGATTCTGCGGACGCTCGGAAAAATTGCGCGTGCTGGCTGAGTTGCTTGTTCATTTAAGCACTCCCTCTGGCCATTTTGTTTTTCGGGCTACGCGTGTGAAATCTTCTCTGCTCGTATCCGCGTCCACTTTCCCGCGTCTCCCTCCAAGTACACACATACGCATTCCCGCTGTACTATTGGCTTTCCCCGCTCTCAGGCCCTGGGACCCACTGGTTGCATTTGGGGCGCTCCCATAAAGAGGCGTACCAGGATCGAAGGATCTGCCATCTCTTCCGCGGCGGAAGGTCGGCGGAAGTAACACGAGGCCGCCTCCGCTGGCGGAAGCTCGGCGGAAGTCAGCCGAAGCAAAAGTCGAACTCCTAAGAGATGACAGCATGTTCGGGTGCAGGGGTATTCCAGAGTCTGCCATTTCGATTCGCATGTGACTTGGCACTGTGCGCCCGTATCTCTGTTTTCATTCGACCGATGGTCAGTTTTCTTCTCTGCCTAGCTTTGGGCAGTCGCTGTCCGTGCGAACCCTCTTTTTCATATCGCAAAGTCGCTGGCTGTGAGCAGCCCGTTGACGTCACTTATAACATACCCGCCGACTCGAGGCAGCTCGGGAGCTCGAGGTGGCCGAGGCGAGATTACAATGCGCGCCTGCGCCGGCGCTCGCAAGGGACCATTTTTTTTTTTTGTCCGGCGGGTCCGAGCCCGCTCAGGGGTGGCCCTCTCCCCCCCGTAACATTAAGGCGGGTCTGTCCCTTTACAGTGGGAATATTCGTAAATAGTTTTAAAAATAGTATGGGGATTTTTTAAAAATATGTTTGGGCATCTTTTGAATATTTTTTGGGGTATTTTTTATTTTTCGTCCAGAATCCCCCTGTAGGGGGACAGGACCGACCTAACCCTAACAAAGTACAGGACTCCCTGATGGGGTCCCGGCTCATGGGGTCGGAGGATCGCGCTGCATCGCCGATGCATCGGGGATGCGGCTCGATGTGGAGCCCGATCTTCTCCTTGCCGAAGGCGGCGATGTGTCGCCGACGTCGGCGATGCACCGCCGATGCATCGCCGATGTATCGCCGATGCGGCGGGATCCTCCGACCCTATTTACTCGGACCCCATTTGGGAGGCCTCAAGCCTTCCGTAACCCTTCTCTCAGACCGCCCATGTGGTCCAGCAGGACGGCTGGATTCTGCCAAGGCGGCACAGAGTCCTCCAGGATGATTCCGACACGTCCCCAAGAGACCCACAATATCAGAATTTGCTTCAGCAGCCCAACCCATTGGTGTTCTACATCTGCTTCAGACAGCATGGGGAGCGCTACAGAGGCGCCGGTGACGTCCCAAGAAAGCCCAAAGACGGCCCCCAACGCAGGCGAAGATCGCCTCAAGTGCGCCCCAAGACGAGCCAAGGCAGCCAAATACGGCCAAAGGGAGGAGAAGGAAGATAGAGCTTGTTTCTTCACTGCTTGGGGCATAATGGGCCCCTCCCCCCCTAGTGCGCTCCGGGCACTGCCGCCGTGCGCACGGCGGGGGGGAGGCGTTACATTATACCCCCCCTTGGCCCCTCCCCCCCACCACAAAATGCCCATCGTCTCCGGACATCAAGAAATGCGCCCATATGTGATCAGATCGACCGGAATCGACCGCCTCCCCACTTCCACAAGGGCGTCACTCGCGTCGTTCAGGCACACGTGAGGCGTTCCAGCGCCTCGCCTTCGAGGGTCGAAGGAGCTGGCACCTCTTCCTCGGCGGAAGGCCGCGGAAGGCCGGCGGCAGGCGGTGGAAGTAAAGCGTCAAGCAGTGGCGAAGCGCCCTGGCTGGCCCATAGGCCCGCCAAAGAATGTTCCAGGAACCTTTTGTGGTCTGCACGAGATGTTCTTAGAACATTTCTGGCCGAGACCGTCTCGTTTTAGTTTCAACACGTCGGGTTAATGTTCTAAGAACATTGTTTTTGTTCTTAGAACATTTGGAGGTTCTCAGAGCATGTCGTGGTAGGCCTATAGGAGTGCCAGGACGGTCGGTCCCTGCTCAAAAAGGGTGGCGGCTCCGCTGGCGGAAGTCGGCGAAAGCAAGTGTCCACTTCCAAAGAGATGGCAGCATGTTTGGGTTCAGGGTTTCCAGAATTGGCCACTCGGCGCTCAGCTGTACATATCGCTGGTCCTGCACGCGGTCACCGCGCCAGCACCACGTTCTTCCGTAGCTTGCTCGGGCCCTCCCGCCCAGCCTTGACGGAAGTCGGCTGCATGCTCGAGGGCAGCGAGTCCGCCGTGTCAAGAGACCGCCTTCTTCTCGGCACGCTGGGCCGCCTCGCGCTGCCGCCTGCCGCCGGCTCGATCCTTTTTGGCTGCCGTGGTTGGCCAGGACGGTCCGATTACGCAGGACCTAGGCGTACGTCGGGCGTGTCCCTCCACAGGGGGAACATTCAAAAATAGGCAGAACATGATACAGGTACGATATGTGTTGCATGCTTTTGCTATTTGGGGATATTTTTTGACAATGTTTACTTCTTCGCCCAACATCCGCCTGTAGGGGGGCACGCCCGACCTTAACGTAGGCCTGATCTTGGTCACGCTCGCAAGACAGACTGCGGCATGGGATCCGAGTCCTTCGGGCAGCAAGTGCGCGGGCGGTGGCGACGAGGACCGCGGGCTCGGTGTCATCGCGCGCTGTTCCACAGCGCACCACGCCAGTGCTCCGGGCGGCCTTGCGCTCGGCTGCTATCTGCGTCGCGTTTCGAAGCCTTTCGCCTGGCGCGGTTTAGAACATATCATCGCATCCATCGATCAAGGTGTGCCCGTCCCCCTCTTCGCTCCTCCCTGGCGACGGACCAGACGCGTGTGCGCCAGGCGAACGCGCGTCTTTCATGATATCTCGATGATGCTCACTTCTTGAGTCTCAGGTCTCAGGTGTGTGGGTTGCACATCAGCCTGTGCCGAGAAAGGTTTTCATCTGAAGTGTGCTGAGCATTTGACAATGATGGGCCGTTCCGCGATCTTGGGGCCATATTGAATCCCAAGAAGCCCATCTGAAGCAGATGGAAAAAGGCAACAGTCATTGAAGCGAGCTTGTCTGTTTGGCCAATTAGGGTCTGTTGTGGGTACCTTTGGGAGGCTTCGTGGCCATCTCGGGCCGTCTCGAGGCCTTTTTGGTGCATCTTGAAGCCCATGCTGGAGACCACCCTGAACCAATTTGGACCACATTTGGTTGCCACCTTGCAGGCCAGCTTTAGCCCGAAAATGCCCTTCTACACCCCGCGGGAACCTTGGCCCAGACCCCTGCAGAGAGGGACTCTCCTTCCTGCCGCGGGCCAGCCCCGCCAGCCAACGACGGTGAAGGGGGCCGGTGTGGGATGCGCCCCGCCTTGCCTTGGTGGGGCTCGCTGGCGGCCCAGCAGCGTCGCTTCCAAGATGGGCGCTCGATCCCTCGACCTGCACACACACACACACACACACACACAAATGAATACACACAAATCCCATATTTTGCGCCATGGAAGGGGGTCCAGCGCCGATCCACGAAATCCGTGCGGACCTCTGACAGTTTCTGTTTGTGGCGTGCTTCCCTCCTCGCTTGTGCACTTCTCGCGGACACCCCAGGTCTTCCCTCTTCTCTCTCTCTCTCTCACTCTTTTTTCTTTTTCCTCTCTCCCTCTTTCTCTCTCCCCGGTGACCCGCAGGTGGCTGTTCTGCATGCTTCCTTCCTCTTTCGCCCGCGACCGCCCACCCGCCGAAGGACTTTGGCTCTGCCCCCGCGCTCACTGAAGGTCTGCCGCGGCCCTCCTCGGGCGGCGCCGTGTGCCCAACAGCTCCTGCCCCACGCGCCCCCAGGCCGCGCCTTCCAAGCACCCACCCCTCCTCCTCCTCCTCCTCCTCCTCCTCCTCCTCCTCCTCTTCCTTCTCCTCCTCCTCCTCGTTCTTCTCCTCCTCCTCCTCCTCCTCCTCCTCCTCCTTCCTTCTCCTCCTCCTCCTCGTTCTTCTCCTACTCCTCCTCCTCCTCCTCCTCCTCCTCCTCCTCCTCCTCCTCCTCCTCCCCTCCTCCTCCCCCTCCTCCTCCTCCTCCTTCTCCTCCCCCTCCTCCCCTAATCCTCCTCCTCCTCCTTCCTCTTTTTCTTCGTCGGCCATTCGCTAGGAAGGGCTCAGTCCGCCGCGGTTTTGTGCCCAGGAGGAGGAGGAGCAGGAGGAGGAGGAGGAGGAGGAGGAGGATGAGGAGGAGGAGGAGGAGGAGGAGGAGGAGGAGGAGGAGGAGTAAGAGGAGGAGGAGCAGCGTTGCTCGCAGAGGGCAAAAGAGCAGCAGGCAGGGGCAAAGGCGGCCGGGCTGGAGGCCCTGCCGCGCCTGCGCCAGCAGCTGCAGCCGAGGGCGGAGCGGGGGATGAGGCGGGGCGGACAGATGGGTAAGATCAGCAGCTCCTCAGTCAGATTCGCCTCCTGGATCATTCTTCCTGCCGCAATCATATTCGCCTCCTGGATCATTCTTCCTGCCTCCGCCGCCCCCGTTTTCCACCCTGGGTCCCATCGCCAAATGCCCGACCCTCCTCTCGCTGTGGCACTGGGCCTGGAAGGCCTGCCACGTATCGCAGGATGATTCCGATCGCCAGCGCACTGCCAGGAATTCACAGGGGAGTATACCACTGCCAGGAACCTTGCAACTCCACGTGCTGGAGTAGTCTCAAGCAGTACCTTGATGGTGAGACAACGTCGAGGGCCGTCTTGTGCCAGGAGATCACAGTCGAGCCAGACGATATGCGCAGCTCGGAGGAACGGCTTCTGAAGTTGGGATGGAGTGGATCACTGCAGGCCTCGGAAGTTATTGAAGCTGTGGGGGATTATCGGCAGGAGTGTGTGTGTGTGTGTGTGTGTGTGTGTGTGTGTGTGTGTGTGTGTGTGTGTGTGTGTGTGTGTGTGTGTGTGTGTGTGTGTGTGTGTGTGTGTGCGGCCCTTTATCGGCATGGGCTTGGCCCCTGCCAATGCAGCCGTTCCTCTCCCTCACCGCGTTCACGTTCGATGGGTCAACGCCTACACACCTGGAGCTTCCTCCTGGCCAGCCTCTACCTCCCCCAGGGCGACCCGCTGGGAGAGGACGAAGGACACATGCTTGCCAGACTAGGAGAGTTGCTCTACGGTTGGTGGCTCCCTTACGTGATCGGAGGCGATTGGAACACCACGCCTCAGACGCTTGCTGATGCGGGCTGGGTCGAGCGGCTCGGAGTGGTCCTTGTCGCCCCTGCCCAGTACACTTGTGTCTCCACCAGCAAGTGCTGGAGGACAACCGACTATTTCGTGATGCCTGCAGGTCTGGCCAATAACGTGGCGAGCTGCGAGGTCAATGGCGAAACCTCCATCGCCACGCACTGGCCCGTTCGCGCCACTTTATCGGGCGCCCCGCTGGCGCCGACCATCTGGGTGCTCAAGACCCCCGCGCCCTTCCCTGTGGAACCCGCTATGGAACCTCACCAGGAGATGCCATCTTGGACCTGCGCCGCGCCGACGAGGATTTGGGCGGAGCAGGCGCCATGGCAATCATCGCTGAGCTTGTGCGTGGCCCTCAGCGGCTCAAGGAATCGCCTGAATGGCGGAGCTGGCAGCCCGACCTGGTCAATCTGCTGGACGCCACGGAAGCATCGCTCCGAGGTCGAGGGGGAGCAGCAGCCGAGCTAGTCAAGCAACCGGAACGAATCTTCACGGCCGATCGTCAGAAGAGATGGCGGAAGTGGGTGGAGGAAGCTGCGGGGCGAGGCGGAGGTAACGCGCGCAAGTTCGCGAAGGCCGCCATCGGATGGGTCCCCGAGAACGTCGATGGCAAAACTAAAGTGAATCATATGCCGCCTGGCCAACAGGAGCAGGTTGACCAGCTCTGCGGGGACTGGGTCAAGGCGTGGGCGCCTGCTGCGAAGACGCCCGGTTTCCCTGGCCCGATTGAGCACCCCACAGCTGACATGCGCAAGCAGGCTGCCGCCAGAGACTGCGCCGTTGTTTCGGAAGCCTGGCATCCGCGATTAATAAGTCCATGCTATGCAAGTTAATAACAGTGCAGCTTGTGTGGTGCGAGAGGTGCAGTGCAAGCTCGGTGGTACAATCTATCTGGCACACTAGAAGAAGAGAAAACGCCACAACCATAAACTTTCGGCGATCCGCGCGGATTTCTTGGATCCGCGCTGGGCCCCCACGGCGGCGCCTCCGGCGCCGCCCCTGGCGCGCTCCGCGCGCCAAGGAGGGGGTCCAGCGCAGATCCAATGAATCTGCGCGGAACGCCAAGAGTTTATGTTCATGGCTTTTTTTCTTCTTCTATACACGCAATGCGGTGCAACCCAAGTGGTGCAAACTATGCGGTGCAGCCTGTCACCACCCACCAAAGCACACCAACCCAGCCCGAAGGCCCCAATTTGCCTTCCATTCCCAGGAGGGGGGTGGGGGGGGGCGGCGGGGAACATTGAAAAAACACAGGTGGAACCCGCACCCCCCCCCCCCAGCGCGAAGTTCGGGCCTTCGGGTTGGGTTGGAGTGGCTCGGTGGGCAGTCCAAAGCGGATCCCATTGGGGCGCCCACGGGCGCCCACCGGGCGAACAAAAATCGGTGGAGGCAGCCAGCGCACGGGGGCGCCCGCGTGGGCGCCCACGGGCGACCACCAGACGAAGCCTCGGCGGTCCCGGCCAGCTCACCTGGCATCGCTCGGACGTGTGCGATCTCTTCTCGGCGAGGATTCAGTCGGGCCCGTCTCTACGGGAGGAATAATCAAAAAATGGAAAGAACAGAAAGTCTGGGGACTATTTTTTTGTTGTGTGTGTGGGGCATTTGTTCGAATCTTTCTCACTATTTTTATTTTCTCCTCGAACAGATCAGCCTGTTGGGGGACAGGCCCGACCTAAGGCGAGGAGCATCTTGGACCCTCCTGTGACAAAAGGCGCGCACGGAGCCGCAAAGAGCGCACGGGGCACGCGGGCGTCCGAGCGGCACGGCGCGTGGGCGCCCGCGAAGCGCCCACGAAGCGCCCACGCGACGGGGGTCGATCTAGGGCGCGTCCCCCCTCAGTTTTTCGTTATCCCTGAACTGTGCGTGGACTTAGGGGCTCTTACTTTCTTCCTTGCGGAAATGCGCTCGTTGGGTGCCCCAACCGCTTCGTTTTTTATCGAGTAGGACGGCCTTCTGGGCTTAAAAACAGCGCTTCGCTCGAGACATCATCGCAAAACGTTTCTTGGGCGCTTCTTGGGTCGTCGCAGGCGCCTAAGACAGCCCAAGAAGCGGCCAAGACGGCACCCAAGACGGCCTAAGACGGCCCAAGAAACGCCCAAGACGGCCTAAGAGCGCTCCAAGAGAGCCCAAGACCGCCCAAGGCGGCCCCAAGACGTCCCAAGAGGCTTCCACGACGCCCCAGGAGGCGCCCACGAGGCGTCCCAAGAGGGCCTCAAGAAGCCAAAACCATGTATTTTCTAAAGGAACACGTACATGTTTAGCCTATACGCCTTTTCGCTTTTCATGGCGTTGAAGAGACGGTCCAAGAGGCCCCCAAGACCGCCCCAAGACGGCCCAAGATGTTGCCAAGAGGCACCCTAAAATAGCCCTCCCGCCTTGTTTTTTATCGAGTAGGACGGCCTTCGGGGGCTTAAAAACAGAGTTTCGCTTGAGACATCATCGGATAACGCTTCTTGGGCGCTTCTTGGGCCGTCTTACGGCGCCCAAGACGGCCCAAGACGGCCCAAGAAGCGCCCAAGAGCGCTCCAAGAGAGCCCAAGACCGCCCAAGGCGGCCCCAAGACGTCCCAAGAGGCCTCCACGACGCCCCAGGAGGCGCCCACGAGGCGTCCCAAGAGGGCCCCAAGAGGACAAAATCATTGATTCTCTAAAGGAAAACGTGCATTTTTAGCATATACAGCTTTTCGCCTTTCATGGCGTTGAAGACGGTCCAGGAGGCCCCCAAGACCGCTCCAAGACGGCCCAAGATGTTGCCAAGAGGCCCCCAAAATAGCCCAAGAGGGCGCCAAGACGGGCCAAGAGGCCCCAAGACGGCCCAAGAAGCGCCCAAGACGGCCCAAGAGCGCTCCAAGAGAGCCCAAGACCGCCCAAGGCGGCCCCAAGACGTCCCAAGAGGCCTCCACGACGCCCCAGGAGGCGCCCACGAGGCGTCCCAAGAGGGCCCCAGAGGCCAAACTCATTGATTTTCTTAAGGAAAACGTGCATTGTTAGCATATTACCGGCAAAGCAACCTAACAGCGATGTGTAGGAGCATATCTGGAAGCATTCCCCTTAAGATTCAGATGAGAATCCAGTTGTAGAATTGTGCTGTTCTCGCAGTCGTAGTCGCATTCGCGATGACAGTCGCAGTGGCAACGGCAGTCACAGTCACAGCCTCAGCCTCAGCCTGCCTCAGCCTCAGCCTCAGCCTGCTCAGCCTCAGCCTGCCTCAGCCTCAGCCTCAGCCTGCTTCAGCCTCAGCCTCAGTCTGCCTTCAGCCTCGGCCTCAGCCTCAGCCTGCCTCAGCCTCAGCCTGCATCAGCCTCAGCCTCAGCCTCAGCCTGCCTCAGCATCAGCCTGCCTCAGCCTCAGCCTCAGCCTGCCTCAGCATTCAAAATGTGGCCCGGGAATGTAGTTCTGGGAACTCGAAGAACACGAAGTGGCCTACAGTTGGCTCCGGGCATTCAAATTCATGCCCAGGAATGGAGTTCTGGGAACTCGAAGACCACGAAGTGGCCTACAGTTGGCTCCGGGCATTCAAAATCATGCCCAGGAATGGAGTTCTGGGAACTCGAAGACCACGAAGTGGCCTACAGTTGGCTCCGGGCATCAAAATGTGGCCCGGGAATGGAGTTCTGGGAACTCGAAGACCACGAAGTGGCC